GGACTGCAGTTTTAACCTCGCCTAGGTCTTATCAACACCCCCAGAAGGACTCGAAACATGAAACTGCAGCGTATGGTTTCGACAGGGTAACCACTACGCCACAATGCTACGAGTACCTCTGTCACAGGGCAGATGTGAATTTCAAGTAAGGCCATGCATTTTCCTATATCACATTGTGTAATGAGATTGTCGATGAAACAAAGTTGTGTGTTTGCTATAGAAATCGACTACGTTAATTATTTTTGTTTTATAAATGAGCTTTCGAGACTACCAGCATATCATATATACGACATAAATTCATCCTACTTCGTTTAGGGTGATAAGAGGACCGGAATTTATCTCATATATATGATCTAATGGTAATATCATAAACTTACTTGCAAATGAAAAATAAGTAATAATAATAAATAATAATAATAAAATATTAATAAGTAATATAGTTGAGTGCAAATAGAACTTAGCTTCATCGACAATCCCAGAACAGAATGTGATATGGGGAAATGTCTGGCCGTCCTTTAAATTCGCATCTGTCCTTTGATATGGGCACTCGTGGCATTTTGGCGTAGTGGTTACCTTGTCGAGACCATACGCTGCAGTGTCATGTTTCAAGTCTCGCTTGGGGTGTTGATAAGACTTAGGCGAGGTTGAAACTACAGTCCATCCTGGATGAAAGTAACTTTTGGGAAATTAAATCGAAATGTCAGCTCTACTCATATCATTTTAAGAAAATTCTACTACCAGTCCTTCATCACCTTAAACGAAATATGGTGAATAGATCTAATGTAGTTGATCTACTGGTAGTCTCAAAAGCCTACTTGTAAACGAAAAATGAATGATTTTGTCGCAGATCAAGTGAATATTCACATGATGGAAATGCAGTAACGTCACACTCTCGTCACGACCACAACAGCAGATAAGCCAAATGCAGAACGACTGTTGGGAAGCAGACCTTAATATAAAATTGATAGTAAATGCTCAGAAAAAATAATAATGTTAAGATAATCCACACCTATGAATGATGTCGAGAACTTTGCGCAAATAAACAAGTCCTTTGAGGACAGCGTATAGAATTTTGGCGACAATTGGCTCCGGTATCCGACCTGCATGCCGTAGAACAAGATCAAGACTCCCACCATCCATGTACTCCATGCAGAGACTAATATCACCATTGACGAAGAAAGCGCCAAAATAGCCGACAATATAAGGCGAATTGCAGTCATGCAAGACCTATTGATAAAATATGCAAGGGTCAAGTGATATACAAATATAAAACCAATTAAAAAAATGAGTTGGATAAAATTAAAGAAGAAATCTCAGTATTATTCTTCATGACATGCGCAAAATTCAAAACATTAAATATGTGACTGTGTGTAGAGATAAATGATATGCTAAAATGTACATTAAGAAATGCAAAGGAAAATATATTAGTTATCTAGTGAAATACACATTACCATATATATTTGTTTCCACGCCAGGCTATTGTAACGACGCAACGATAAAAATCTATTTTCGATACAGGTTTTATACATATTTAGGATGCCGAATATCAACACAGTTTAATGCTGTGATATACCTTCGAACAGAGTTGTGGTAAAAGATATGTTGCCATTCTTTAGCATATCTTGCTAAACTACGAGGATATATTATTATTGCATTGATCTTTATTAAGTTTAAAAGCAACAGGTAAAGATGATTGGAAGTTGTGTTTAAGGTGAGAAGGATACTTTCTAATAGTACTATATTTTTGGTCTTAACAAATATCCTATTGAGATTAGTGAAAAAATGCTATAATTCAGTGAGCCTGAAAGGTGGAACCGTTGCTAAAATGTGTAACAAATATATACAAATGCGTGTAAAAATTTGCGAAATCGTATTTTACTAAGACTACACAATCGTAAACAGAAAGATGATAAGATTGGTTCCATAATCAACGGAATGTTAATTCAAACAAATCCACGGTTAATCCTAAAATAAGAGATACTTTCTAAATCAAAAACTGATTAGTTTGATAAAAGTGGAGGGGAAGTAAGAAATAAGAGTTAATTACTTTTATGTAAGAAATAGAGCCTATTAAAAATAATTCAACCCAAGATATTATTAGGCCCAGATATGAATCCCATCATACATACCGTAATTATACAGCAATAACAATTAAGCATTTATATGAGTATATGACTAATATTCCGTAATACGCATATTTAGCCTGTTTAGGTTAGATAAAGCTATCATTTGTGGATTCATAGACAAATATCCAGTCCATTCACAGTAGCACACACAGAATGAGACTTAAACGCGCAGCCTCGTCAACAAAATATTTTGCACTTTAATAACGTAGAATAACGCTTAAAAGGGTAAAAAATATTTACTATGAACTTAGCCACTTTAGGTCGCTTAAGATGCTTTTACATAAATTAGATGAGGAAGCCTCAGGGTGCCATGGAATTTCACTTATGATTGATTCTCAAAAGGTAGCAGGTGATTGACGGCAAATTAAACGTGACATGACTCTCCATTTCGAAGGGAAAGTAGATATGAAAGAATTCGTGATCTGGTCTCACCGCTGCGTAGGGAAGACTATTGAATTGTGTGAAGAAGTCCTAGGCTCACTATCCTGCGACACCGATGAAAGTATACTAAGCTTTCGTCTGTGTTGTGACATAGAAATTAACATAAAGCAGCAAACTTCCTGAATAGGAAGGAATGTAGAAGACTAAGTAGGAACTGTTCGTGGCTATTGTATCAATTAACTACTCAAGAATTGATAGTTGGTATTTCTCACGATGAAATGAATATTTATTGGTAGTATCGAAACGCTACTTATATACGAAAATTAGGAAATGAATATAATTCGTGGCAATGAACTTAGTCTTTCCTCATTCATGATGGACTAAAGTTTAGACCTCGTAAATATCTTATTCGAGAATTAAAAAAAGCATAAAACCTACTTGAATTAAAAAATAGGTCCCACATCACAATGATAAAGAGATGTCTGCCTGATCCGTATTGACGCAGTGAATGTGGCTTAGGAGTAATTTGCTTTAATATAAGCCATGGTCATCTAATGGATTAAAGGTCAAGAGACTCACAAATTCCATTAGAGGAGCTGATAAGACGCATAAGAGGTATAAACTGCAGTCGACATAGCCTTTTAGGAGACAAAGCTAAGTAAAATTCAATGAAATCCTAAAAGTTACTCAACTGATTCTTTGGAAACTCTTTTATCCCCCATTTCCTTTTTATTCGCCTATCTTGGTAGAAAGGTGACGACAAAATTAATGAAAAATAATTTTCGAAGAAATTCTGACACGTTATTCGGTTATGCCTTCTCTGAGAGAGAAATATGACCCATTATCAGTATCTGAATGTGACAAAATTAGGTGCTCCCGTGGTCGACCTTATGTTTGTAAGACCTACAAAAGATTAGCGGCGCATTGGGAAGCCTGTAAAGATAGCTGGGTTTAACGGTCAGAAGTGGCTGAACACAGGGCGGAGAGCGGACATAAAATGGTCTGAACGCAGAGTTATGCCGATTCAGATATGTCAGCCAAGAAACGGAAGAAAAGAATCGATCGAAATTAGGAAATAAGTCGAATGTGAAGAATGATGCTATAAATTTTAGTAAAAATCACAGTGTTGGTTCGATTTAACTTTTGCAACATGTTCGAAGCGTCAGGGAGGTCATATGGAACCTACCGAGTCATTGCATTCGAGGTCGAACCAGCACTATAAAGCTAAAGGATACTGCGACTAAACAGGAAGCCACACTATCTTGGTCTTTATATCTACGAAGAATGACTTATGTTTGATTGAAAGGTAAGAGGAAAGAGGGCGTTGAGCCATCGTCCAAAAGAAGGCAACTAAACTTACCAGCTGAGTTATGGTTAAAGTTAAATTTTAACTCGTCTAACAGGCATGTTAAGCTCATCAACTAAATCAGAGGTACGAGATTACGCAATCTAAGTCATGCTATTCCTTGGGTCATTAAGCCTTGAAGATCAGGGACTGACGTTGAGCCCTGACCAATATTACGTGCAGACGTTAATACACGAACACGCAGACAGATATAGTGTGACCGCCTGAAACACAACGTTTTTTTGGGTTACGGAGACTTCAGATCAAAGCGTGAGATTAGAGCGTTTATAGAAATTAACAAAACGGTCAACACCCTGAATAAGAACGACTGTATAAGACTGAATATGAACTATTTTTGGCTGTTGCATACGCTTAAGAAGAAGGAAGAGTCAGTGAACAAGAGAAAGCTGGATTAATCATGAGTCTGGATAGGACTATCATCCTTCCCATGACATGAGCATTACATACACATCATACACAACAGCACAAGCTCAAACGTAAATCAACATTAGAGGATCGTGAATTAGTTTATTTGTGTAAGGAAACAGCTGCCACCGAACTCACTTTCAGTTCGTAAAGTTACTTCACACAGCTGCAAACATGTAAAGTAAGGGTGAAGTAGCCAAATCATGAGATGCCTCATTAAGATCGCGAAGCTAGGCGTATAAAAAGAGATTAGGGCTGCAGCCGACCACCTTAAATAATGGTTTAATATATTTCGTACTCTGATGTAGTCTGTCACAGTATAGACAAAAGTTTAGGACAAGTAAATCGGGCTTTCAGGGGGGTAAGCCAAATCATCCCTAGCAGAATTTAACAGTCTTCCCTATGCGGCAATCCCCTTTCGGTTTCCTGTGAGAGTGACCAAGTCAATGGTACGATGCTGGAAATCACGAATATTATGCTAGAGAACAAGGGACTAAGAAAGTTCCACAAGGTCTCCTTGAGACTCCGAATAAGTTGCGAAAACGAGGTCGAACCAACGCTATAAAGCTAAAGGAGACTGCGACCAAGCAGAAGGACATATAATCTCGTTCTCCATACCTACGAGCTAAAATTTTTTTAGAAGTTAATTGACCTCGTTGTCGCAACTTGGTCATGTTGTCAGGGAGACTTAGTAGAACGCATCTAGTCCGAATTCGTCTGCCATAGTAGTTGTCATGATTCCCAGCATCAGACAGTGAACTTAGTACATTCTCAAACGCTTCGCCGGCATCATCAGTGAGTTTTGCCATTCTCCGAACCAAGCTAAGAACTCGTCAAAGAGATAAGTTTGAGAAAGTGTCCGGATGGATAAATCCTCATGAGCCAATTGAGGTGCCAACTGGCCAACATTTATTTGCGTGTAGTGAATTTTCTTAAGGGATGGTTTCTGGATCTGACTATGTTAGTCGCATAATTGAAGTAAGCTCAACATTGACTCATTAGGGTCGCAGGATAGTGCGCAGAGGACTTAGCTAAAATCAAATCAAAAATTTAGAGGCAATAATATTTTAGGCGTTCGTCGTTAATCCATTACACTCAACCTTTAAGACAAAATAAAATGTTTAATGACATAGACAGAGTAACTAGGACATAATCGCCAAACTATATGGAGGTACCAATTCGGATCAGGAAGAATGAAGGCGATGGTAAACCGTTGCTGGAAGTTGTGTCCAGCTAAGCTCACTTAAAAGAACGCGTGATTAAGAGGTTTGCAGCAAACGAGGACAGTAAGCGAGGTGGCAGAAAAATGACGAGGATACCAGGCTATTAGATGTGAACTGTACCAATGGATTTAGGAGAAAAGATGCCACCATTGTTCATAAGGTAATTGATAAAGATTGCTTTTTAGATAGTAGATATAAAGGTCAAGATGGTGTGGCCGTCAGTTTGGTCGCAGTCTCCTTTAGCTTTATAGTGTCGGTTCGACCTTGTTTTCGCAACTTGGTTGGAGTGTCAGAAAAACCTTGTGTAGTGTACCTAGCCTCGTGTCCTCTGATATAGTATTGGTGATTTCCCACCCCAGGGAAGTGGACCATTCTCAGACCAACGTTATGACTTGAGTCGTACACAGGGCCCCAAAGAATGAGACACAATATGCAATGGGATGAGGGATAGCATAATCGAGTCATGGGTTTGAAGCCTAAAGCGAGGAAGATAACCAGGCACTGGCATGTGCATGGTCATGGACATGGGCATCATCTGCTCGAAATCCTCGAATATGGCGTAATCGATAACGAGAATGGAAGGTTCTTAGGCAGTCAAACAGTGATTTTGGTCTTTAGCAGCGGCCAATTGGCGAGCAGGTAGGAAAAAAAGAGATGGAGTGACCTTGCAAACGGCATCTGGTACCGGTGGTGGAGATTGTTACGCTTCACTAAACCCACTTGTAGTGATAATATTCTTAGACAACATCGGAGGAAACAAGAGCACAGAATTGTGAGAATAAGTGGATGGGGCATATTAAATGGGGTTGAGAGAAAGAGATGCGGCACTAGAAGGTAGAACAAAAAATAGGAGCGAAAAGTGATGCCACAACGGTTGAACAGGAAATTGGTCTAGGGGATTGCCTTCAATTGTCACTTTGATAAGTTATAACTCTGTGCTTACGATGCCGGCGAAACGTTTGGGAATGTACCCAGCCAATAGTGTAAATCACGAATACTATGGCAGAGGACACGGAATTAGGTACGCCTTATGAGATCTCTTAGATGCTCCGACCAAGTTGCGAAAACAGTCGAACCAACACTATGGTTGCCTTTTATTGACACTGTTATGGATGGCACTGCTCATTGATGATGCCGGCGAAATGACTGGTAATATACCCAGTAAACAGTATGGGACTCGAAGAACAGATTGCTACAATGGTATAGGTACTATCATTAACTTTTCTCTAAAAGCGCAACCAATGAGCTGATGTGATACGAAATGTAGTCTGTATTGGTATTTTTAAGCTGATTCCCAATTACACATTTCGTTAGAGCAATCACTAGCATATTTATTAGGGGCCCATTTAAAAAAGATAGCCAGACAATATGCTGATTATAGCAGATCAAAGAAGACAATTGTAAGTCAATCTTGCCACTTGACGCTTTTTAACTGTTTTAGATATCATGGCATTCCTACTCGTTTTTTTGCAATTTGATGAGAAAATATAATCCGATAAAGTGAATGATATATTATACCAAGATTCTCTGTAAAAAGTAGACGAGACATGACAAGGAGAGGTTAAAATTATTTAAGTTTTAGACCAAGATGCGAAAACTGGATCAAACCAATACTATAAAGCCAAATAAAACTGCAAACAAATAGAAAGCCAAAATATCTTGGTTTTCATATCTACGATTTTAGATAGTAAGTCTAGACTCAGGCATGATTTGTGCAGACTTATCATTCGGGAAGATTCCTTGAAATTACAGATGACATATAAAATGTCGAAAAGGATCCCAGACGATTAAAAAAGCATCAGAAGCTGGAAAAATATTTTGGGTCTATAGGTGACTCAAAGTCAAACCATCAGGATGACGAATTTCACAGTACAGACAAGAGATGGAGGTAAAATAGTAAATCTCTCTTTCGTCCCTCTTGACAACAAAATCACGCGATCCTCATGAAGGGACTAAATTTTGCACTTCAGAATGAAAGAAGGGCAAGCAATGACATTTTAGTAAAGGTGATAAACGCATCTGAGAAGCTAAGTGAAGAATCAAAAATAGAGCTGGAAATATAAATCATCCCAACAACCTTGAAGCATCAGGAATCCACGAATAGTAACAATATAACCAAGAGATATAGAGAATTGAAAAGAAACAATCAAATAATTCTACAAGACGACAAAGGAGGTGCCACACTGATGATGGTCAGGAAGGAATATACAGAAAAAATTGAAAATACTTTCGGGGACACTACAATTTATCGACCGCCCACAAAGGACCCAACAGTCAAAATGAAAAGGGGCACTGTAAGAAATGCTGAAGGAAATGAATACGAACGAGGAAATTGGGAAATGGACAATGAATTCACTCCTATGAAGGGAACTTTGATAAGTTGTAACGATGTGCTTACGATGGCGCCTCTCACTGACGATGCCGGCGGAACGTTTGGGAATGTACCCAGCCAAGGGTCCGATGCTGGAAATCACGAATACTATGGCAGGGGACACGGGACTAAGTACGTTCCACAAGGTCTCCCTGACGCTCCGACCAAGTTGTGAAAAAAATGTAGTTACTTCACTTACATCACAATGCTTCAATAACGAGCTGGATAAAATTGGAAAGAATAAGCAATTTACGAGAGAAGACGAATAACAATTTTCTAAATATTAAGGCATTCATTTTATAGCAGTAAAAACTAAATCCCTTCAAATCAGGTAAGAATTCATCGAGTGGCTGTAATTTAATAAGCTTCGAGTGTAGGGAATTGTTCCAAGACAGATAGCTTGTCGCTTTTACAATTTCATATAAGGAAACTTTAAAGAAAAAGCAAAGGCGTGTAGATTAAATTAAAATTAATATCTTGGGTCCTTAAGGACAGGCTTAAAAATTGGACAACCTGAAGTTCTCTAATTATTTGTGTCTTGACATTCGGCTTTATCTCAAGATGAATATTCTTCTTAGCCATGATCAAACCAGAAGGTATATGTCGTACTTTGCTCACCACACCGCCATTGCCTTTTCCAAGCTCACTGAGCTTTTCAAAATCTTCGGGCTTTAGCTCCTGAATTTTATGTTTCTCTGTCACAAATTGGATTAAACGTTGCCGTTGGTTCTCATCTAACTCTTGTTGAGCAAGCTGGCGTTGTCTAGAACCGAAAGTAAATAAAGGAAAATACTGAAGAAATTAAGACGTCGTAAAAATATATAAGAATTATGTCTAAGGTAAATTTTATTGCGGGGTGGGTAAATGGATGCTGAAAGAAATAAGATGTAGTAGTGTGTAATAAAAAGAGGGTAGTGAGCATAGAAAATAAAAAAAATTAACAAAAGTTAGGCTATAGAAATGTACAAGTTAGTTTTTGACTCTGAAACATTATAAAGCTAAATGGTATTTTCCATTGAAGCGTAATGAGAAGATTCTTAGGCCGATTTCAAAAGAAAAAGGTCCATTTGGTATGCTTTTATATTGTCCTATAATAGGCATGCTGACGAAATCCTCGAAACACCTTTCTTCAGTTCCAGATAAAAAATGTGCAAAGCTCTCGTATGTCATTTGAAAGGTAATATCAGAACGACGTATAGATTGCGAGCCAATAATATCACAACTGGATCGGCGCTGTTTGCAAGATATATACATTAAATAATGAATGGTTTGATTAAGTTACTTTCATGTTAATTTATGCATGTAAAGTAATGTATGTATGTGGGTTCGAATGCATGTGAGAGTGGAACGCCAGAAATTGTTATAATGAATTAAAATAGGGCTAAATACACGTCCAAAGCCAACGTTAATGGTATTTTTTGGCTCAGGTAAACGCAAAACTATGATTGCGTAATAGTATGGATCCATCTAATCGATCAATTTTGTTACTTAGTAATTAAATTGTTTAAATTATTTCTTATTTTTAAACAAGAACTCAAGTTCCTATGTCATTTAAGATGATGTCAGGAATAAAAGTTAGTTCTTCTAAAAGTAAGAAGTAGCAGGTTCTAAGACGTCAGAATAACACTTAGCCTAGACTACCAAAGGACTTTCCAGCCCAGGATAGTCAGTAGCTTCGGACTCATCTAAGTCATACCAGCCAAACCAGTGGGACTCGAAACCAGGTCGTGCGCGTCCAATGGCGTCATGAACACTTCAAAACACACAAACATTAACGCCAACAGGCTGAAAGACACAGTGCAATTTATTACAAAAAAGGCATCAATCAAATATGATTTAGTGAGAATGGTGATGATAAGGCAGATATGTATTTAGAATTAGCATAGACGACAGTAATATTTTTCCGAACGAATATATGAGTATATTTTGGACGAGAACCCTAGCTAGCCTAGATTTCTAAAACCACTTATTATATATATATGGAATGAGAAATTATGGCGT